TGGGAGCCTGTGGCTATTTCCAGGCGGTTTATAAAATGAAATGTGGGCACGAGATGCCGTGAATTGTGATATGAAATGGGGATATTGGCACGTAAATTGTTCGTGCAGTTGTGATATAAAATGTGGGCACGAGGTACTGTGATGAAATGATAATGATATTTGGCACGTGAAATGTCCGTGCAGTTGTGATATAAAATGAGGGCACGAGGTGTCGGACAAATATGATAATTTAATTATGGGCACGAGGTGCCGTGGAAATATGAAAACGGGTTGAGACCCGTATTTTGATGATCTTGAAATGAGGTATCACATGGTGACTTTTTAATTGAAAGAATTATATTCAAAATATTTATTTGAAAGGATTTTTACTTAGAAAGTATCATATAAAAGAATTGTATTTTGAAAGATATTTATTTGAGAAAATTGTACTTGAAAAGATTTATTGAAAGAATTATATTTGAAAAATAATTATTTGAGAGAATTATATTTGAAAGAGAGTTATCTGGAAGAACTATGTGAAAGACATTTATATGAAGGGCTTGATTTAATTTGGTATATTTGTGTTTATTAATTGTTGAGTGATATTAATGGTGTTCTTGTTGTCTGTTGTGCATATCACTGGTTGTTTTATCCTGCCTTTATTATTATTTGTTTCCTATTATTTTGTATATTATATTGCATAGGTTATTAGACTAGTGAGTGTCTTAACTGTACCTCGTCTCTACTCCATTGAGGTTAGTCTTGATACTTACTGGGTACCATTGTGGTGTGCTCACTCTACACTTCTGCACATTTTTGTGCAGAGCCACGTATTGAAGATATCGGACTTGAGCAGAGTTAAAGCGCGATCATAAGGATTCAGGGAAGAGCTGCTTGGTCGTCGCAGTCCCTTGGAGTCTTTTCATTTCATTGTACTGTTAATTTGTAATCAAACAGTATTGTATATTCGGTCCTCGTGATCATTTGATGTATTCAGTTAGAGTTCATGACTCAGTACTACCAGTCTTGGGAGGTTGTGTATTGTAATTATTTTCGCTGTTAGATTTTTTTTTAAAAATGGCTTCAAAATGTAATAGAAATCGGCTTACCTAGTCTTAGAGACTAGGTGCCATCACGACGCCTGTGATGAAATTTTGGGTCGTGACATATGCGTTATTTAGGAAATCAGATTTAACTACAATATTTTGAATTAAAATAACAATTAAATAGTTGACAATCATCTATATCATCGTTTTTTTTAATCAAAAGGAGTACAATTTACAAGTATTGATTTACAATACTAGTTACCATTGCCCCGGCCCAATTGTATAGTCAAGGTTGTAAAGTTTGACTACCTCATTTTTTGCCCTAGAAGTATAATTGTAAATTTCTTTTGAACTTTCAATAACATTGTTGTGTAGCTTTTTTGCAACTCATATGTTTCTTCCTCTTAAACTCTCAAAAATACAATACGTTTTAATATAATAGGTAATAATAGAGCAGTTTATAACCAAGAATCTCACACCAAATGCAGAAGTTTTGATAAAGTTCATGAAGAACCTGTAAAATATTACAACTGTTGAATACTATGCGAATAATGCACGAATTTATTTAAGCTTCAGCTAAGATCTGATCATGAGTGAAAGTTTTATTTGTGATGTACACATGAGTCGTTGACCTGAAAAAATAAATTAACGTATAAAAAGTTGCTAGTGTATACAGTTTTTCTTTGTACGATCTAAATTGAATCTCTCACTCTTACGGGCCGGCCAGAGGAGGAGGCCACTGGCTACTTTTTCCTTACAAAAATTAAACACTATGGTATAAGAACTATAGAAAAAGTATAAAAAGGTAAGTATACTTTTGAAATAGCACTTAACATGTAGAAAAAAAATTAGGTAACGACAATAACTCGTTTAGATCCTAACTTTCCTTTATATAAATTATTCTAGGTCTATTGGAATAAATAAGCCAAATTATATTTCTTACGAAGAACTTATACTTTTATCTTTTTTTCCTCTTGTCCAAGTATATTATTATTCTATCAAATACAAGCCTTGTAGTGCATTGCACAATTTTAATTACATGCTCTCTTTTTCACTGTTTCTAGCATTGCAATAAGCAAATTTACGTAGTGATACTCTAATTAGCTATAATTAAAGTTATCAAAGTCAGGAATCAAGCTCAGTTATTCTAATTTTATTCTATTATCCTTTTTCAATCTAAATTTTGTTATTTTTATATGTTTATTTCATAAGTATATTATGCCTTTTTCTTACCTTAGATCAACAATTTATCAAGAAATATTTAATGAATTGGTTGTATATTATCAACTAAAAGGGAATTATTAGAAAAAATTAATTATTAAAAGAATAATTAACAACAATGCAACTCAAGCATGGAAAGTGTGAAGATTTTCTTATAGATGTTTAAAATTAAGGCTTATTATTATAGTTTGGCTTTAGACAACCAAATTTATTGAACTGTGCTGCTTCTTCATCTTGATATTTCTAAGTTATGCTCTAAAACTAAAGAAGTTCTTTCTTTTTTATTTATTTTAGTATTCAAAATTCTTTTATTTTCTTTAGTTACTCAGTAAGCCTTGTAAAACATGAATTTCATTATTTGATGAAATTAGCCTTTTTCATCACCCAACGAGCCCCATTTTTTTAAATGGTATGTAGTTGTACTTTTTGTCCAGCCTTATTTTTCTTTTAAAAAGTTTAAAAATAGTAGTTTAATTATTATTTTACACGATAACGTGAATTTTGGTCCATTTGTTATTCATGTCAGAATAAATGATGTTAAAAAACTATTCAAATATAAATAAAGAGTTTTGTATTTTTAAATGATTATTGTTTTCAGTTTTATACGCTTTTAATGTTTCTCTTTCTATATTTGGATTTCTCTAAATTTCTCTAAGATTTAATTTCTGACCTTCTGCGTAAGATAGAATCAACCATCTACGTTCATCTCTTTTGAGCTGTAAAATCTTTTCTTCTTTGTACATATTTAGTTTTTCTTTTCTAATTGTTTAATATATTTTATTAATTGTGGATCTCTAATGTAATTATATGAATCACTAATAATTTTAGCTATAAATTTGGATAATTTGGAAATTTGTTCTTTTTCTCTTCAATTCCACTTATTTATACCTTACAATTTGCGAGAGTATCACAAAAATAATATAATGATAGTGGTAGTGAAACTGAAAGTGAAGAGGCTTTACTCTTAGAGAAACTAAATAAGATAAGTTGATGGTAATTTTATAGAATTTCTGCAAATTGTATCATCTCAGCGGTGAAAATCATTGTAAATTAAATCAATTCATTATGCAATCAAGAAATTCTCCTATTTATTCATTCAGCAGTCACCCCCGTGCATCAATTTTGAGCACTCATTACTCACAAAAACTTGTTTTTTATTTTTTTATTTTTTTTTTACAGGTTTTCTAAGGATTTCTCTGCAATTAGGACATAACATAAATCAGAAAAATTTAGGTGGACCTCAGTTGTACAGCACACTTAGTGAACTACATCATACGTGTTTAACGAAAAGTTTGAATGGGCCCATCTTTTGTTTCTTGACTTCATCTGCTGAGAGTTGCGGCAAAAATGAATTGGAAAAGATAATGATACTCTCTTTAAGCACCAATTGATGAAACATGCTAGTGAAAGACCTCAACTGTTGTTTGTTTCTAACACTAGTGGGAATGGCCCGTGCTGAGTCCGGGCCCAAACTTCATAAAAATAGCAGCTTATATTAATTTATAACGGAAATAAATTACATTCTATTGGGATCAACTTGCATTTTGATCAATTACGTATTGAGATATATGAATTGATTTGTTAAACATTATGGTCTCTGAGTCTCTGAGACGAAGAGCGTCGTGATCACTCTAAATTATTCCTTAGATGGCAGTAAGTTTCTTTCGATTTAGTCTTAGAAAGTTGGATATATAGCAGAGCGAAGAAAACAAATTCAAGTCAAAAAAGAGGTCATATTTACTGCTAGTCTTTCAACCCACTATTTACATCAGTTACAACACTAATATATTTTTTACTGGCTAACAAAAGTATAAATATACATGCCAGTAAGTTACACAAAGTGAACTGCATTGTCCATATTTTTTGCAATATTGGAAACAAAAGGACGTCAGTAACGGCAGGTGGCAACGTATTTGGTAGCTGAAAAAAGTAGAGGTTGTTCTTTGCATTACCTGTCAAACACATGCTAGCGATCTTCAAACACGTATGTACATAGCAGGAGAAGACGTATATACATGCATTTTACAGAGTTATAACATCCCGCGAACAAAACATACGTAAGATCTATAATGAATGCCTTTTTTCCTCAACAAAAAAAATTTATCAGTGAACCACAATTTATATTGAAAAATATGTTGCATAATCTTAGTTAGTTATACCAATACAAGGGAAATAAGAGTGCAAGGTAGAAAGTATAAATCAACTCAAGCACAAGAATGTCTTAGAAAACTTGTACAGATACAGTAATACTACTTTATAAGTAATTTTTTATTAGGAATAAGAAGTGTAACAATAATCAGTCAATGCAGCAGTTATGCAATATATTATCATAGGAACTTAGAGAATTCTTTTCTAGCAATGAACACTAGAATATTACTGATGTTTAATGAAAGGTAGTGCACTTAAAATTTAGCTAACAATGGGTTGTCAACATTATCAATACAATAATGTTTGCCAATGACCAGGCAGATTAGGAGTCGAATAAAACTATTGGTTTCTCTGTCTGTTATTTTTGGATTAGCTGCTGGAGGGCGTTCTTTGGAGAGGATGAATGTGAGCGAATTAGAGCTTATGAATGAATATAGAATGGAATGGAATATGTAATAGCCTTTTTTTTATTTGAAGTTTCTTTTGATACTCTACATCAGAAATCAAAGAAGTTATTCTTAAACATGAATAACAAGGTCCTAAAAGTTTATCACCTTTAAGTATGGAAAAAAGTAATGAAAAAGTAGAGATAAAGTTTATTAACCTTCATTTTTTCTTGGGGGAGTCTCCTTGTTCCCTCTTGGTAGAAGAGCCACCTTCTGTATTAACTCCCTCTTCAGCTCGCTCTTCTCTGGGTGTAAATTGTTCCACATTCGACTGACTGTTGTCTTCGTTTTCTATCTCTTTCTTGAGTTCAACATTTTCCAATTTAGTGTTACTGCTCTCTCCAATTTCTTCAGAGGCTACTGGTGCGGGCAATTGAAAAACAAATCTTCCTTCACAGAGTAGGACACAATGAACAATCGCCTATCAGAAGTTCTAGAAAATATTTTTCTCAGTTGTATCTTGAAGAGTTTATGAGGAAGACACTGTCGAACATGTTCAAGAGGTAATGGTTGTTCCTGCAGGAGAGAAAAAGATGAATTTAATACATCAAGATAGTGGTCAAAAGTAATATACTCTGAATTAAATTGGATGTTTTAAGCCTATGAAGTATTTGGGATGCAGAGGCTACAAGCTTCTATAGCGTTTAATTAAGCCAATTGTAATATTTAAGCGACATAAAAGAGATGTTTTAGTTTTCGACAGGCATGTGAAAATGGAGGTATAAGCAGACATAATCAGTACTTTAGCAAGAAAATTGTTGACAAGCTCTCTGCATCGGCAGTAACTAACATTGCCGAGCAGTACAAGTCAGATGATGAACCAACAAAGCAACATTGAATAGTCAGGTAACAACTTAGGATTAATCAATTAACAAGAATGCATTGCTGGGAACAAAAAAGTATGTAGTTGTGTAAGGTAACATAAGTCAACATCATTTTGCCTACTACAGGCAAACAAAATCTCATTTTTTTTCCCGTTTTGATGCTCTTCTTGTCTCTCACTCTTTGTTTTTTCTCTCCTTTTTCATCTCCAAAGAAATAATCAAGAACTCAACTTTAGGTTCTAATTTTCAGTTACCAGTGAGATTCAATCCAAGAATTTTCAAGGGGTTAATGTTAATGTCCTTTCAAGACACTTTCTTGAATTTTTAGAAGGAAGAATAACGACATTTGAGAAGAATGGTTTGTTCTAGTTACACTTGAGTAAGTATTGGATGATTTGCAGTTCTATTTTTTTAGTGTTGCTATATGGTCCAATTTGCGTGCAGGTCAACAAATTAATCGAGATATCAGTTATCTCCTACAAAGGCAAACATCAAGGAAGACAGAATTGGAAAAATTGAGAGTAAATAGCTACTTTTATTATGAGGCCAATCTGAAGCTTCCACCACTTTTAGCTACTTTTCTTATGAGGCCACCGTCTCAAGCTTCCACCAGCTGTTTTTTCTTTTCTACTTCTCAATTGGAATTTAGGGAGCAAGGGAAAACTAAATGCACAGGCTATTGAGAACATGAAAATTTGGACAGAACTATGGAAGAATAATAGCGTAAACAAAGTTGTTTGTGGAACCTTGTTACTGTTCGAAACAACTTTGGATGAGATTGACGATATTTCGTTCTTATTCTCACAAATAGTCCAGTAGTAATGGTAAAGAAAGCAAGTTAACAGTTCCCTATGGACGAGACCAAATAGACCTGTTACCAAGTGTGGTTCGTATTCCAGGCGGCAAGAAAGTTAAAAATGCTCTTGGTAAAAAGAAAAATTAAAATGATGTATACATTAGTTAACTGAGAATTGGTATTACATGGAAAATGCATAGTCTAACAGTCAAAAGGATTACAGCAAGGTAGTAAATAAAATTAACTTCAAAAGATCGCAAATTAGCAGGATGAATAATAACTTGAATACGATGTATGACTGCCAAAGGACATTGACGTATTAGTTACTCGTATTATTATCAGCCAACTACGTAAAATGTTTCAAGGACAACAACATGATTTCAATAATCTGTCAATTATGAAAGTGTAAGTTTACTACGTTAGAGGAAACGTCTACATTTAATCCTTCAGCTTACTAAATAAAAGTATATCTGATCAGTTAACACAAGGAATATAATATGGTCTCAATAATCTGTCAGTCGTGGAAGGATAACTATGAAATGACACTCCTACAGTTGAAGAAAAGGTCTAAAGTGCAGACTTAACGAATGAAAATCGGTCGCGGAGAGTCTTTCAAATAAGAGGGCACTTTAAATTAAAAGGAAACATATTCCTATGTCTATGCCCAGGTATTTGCAAGAAAATAAACTCATATTGTTAGCATAATAATGCCTAATATGTAATTTGCATTATGTAAGTAATTTGTGAGCTGAAGTACTTTAATGAATTGTTTCTGGTATTATTAGCATTGTGGGTGGGTGTTCAACAAATACACGATCTATCAAATGTCTAGCAATTAAGAATGCTTCCATTTACTCTATTGTTTGAAATAGTATATGTAATCTGATTTTAACGTGATTTTATGTTGTTTATTGTAATGCATAATTTGGTTTTCAAAAAGCTTCGTAAGATACAAATAGCAGCTTTCTAGAATTTATAACGTAACAGATCTCATAATCATATTTCGGAAGATAAATTTTAAGCTAAAAATAATTAGAGGTACTTAATGATAAGCTTATCATCATCAATAATTTATGGATATCTGTTTTATCAGAGTGTGGCCTTGGAGAAAGAACATTTAATGATTGAAATAATTACCATCAAATTGGTCCTGCCTTCTAAATTCTTGCCCTTTAATTTCTTAAGATGTAAGAAGTTCAAGCAAATTTCAAACGCAGCGACTGCAAAGTGTACCGCAAATATATCCTTCCGGACAAATAAAGTACTATAAAAGCATAAGTAATTAATCCAAAGAAGAAATTCCAAAGTTTGGTACCAAAATTTTTATGTAAAGAAACTCATATCAGACAGACATAAATTGTAAATGCGGAATATCTACTTTCATAGAGCATGTCAAGCATTTAGTTCCTCACATAGCCAGTATTGAGAGAAACGATTAAATTTGTGATTACCTAAGTTGATGAATCTCTTTCTTTTCTTTCAATTAAAGAATAGTGGCGAATGCAATCATATTTGAACCAGCAGAATAAGAAGTGACACGGTAGTTAGAAGATTACTCTTTCGTCTAGGACAACAGCAATCTGGAATCGCGTCTTTCCATCTTTACTTTGCCTTGCCCGAGGTTTCTCAGGGGGGAGAAAGAAGACATCATCAATATATACCGAAAGATAAAGGTAGACATAGATAATAAAATGGATGACCTGATTACACGGATTAAAATTTTTCCATTTAATAAATTATATGCAGTGACAATTAGCACAAGAAGTTGGCATTATTAGTTAAAAAGATCATTCATGGCTAATTGGCTTGTCCCTGTATACCTAATGACTCTGTAGGATCTAACAAATTATTTTTTCTTGTACTAAATTTTCATGCAAAAATGCCTCTCCAGGACCATCTTAGCCAATGCCACAGCCTCCTATTGATTCATCTTTGTTGGAGCAGTCATGTGCGAAAAGAGCATCAGCTGTAGTTTTCATCGCTTGAGCAAATACAAGCTGATTGCTACCGATCTGATTGCACATCATCAATATCCTTCGTCAGTTATTTCATTTTTTTTAGTTAGGATACTATCTTTTCTTGTCGCAATATCCCTATAAAGTAGCTTTTTGGATGATTTCTTTGTAAACAATGTTATCCGTGTAGTGATCGTCCTCGCTACTTGGTATAGTGGGTCGAATTAGCACTTTCACACAGATCGAACTCTTTGCTCTGGACAAAGCGACATAAAGTTGACCGTGCGAAAACACAGGTTCTCACAAATAAACTCCAACAAAATCTAATGTCTGACCTTGCGCTTTATTTATAGTCATTGCGAAGCACAGTCTTACCGGAAATTGTGTCCTTTTAAACGGAATAGGCATTTTTTCATCTTGGGATGATAATAGTGGTATTCTAGGAATAAACACATGTGTATTCTTAAAGTGACCAACTGAAATATTGGCGCTAATAATGACATGCGATTTAAAATCACAGCAAGTCAAACGTGTTCCATTGCATAAACCATCACACGGATTTAAATTTCGTAATAATATAATTGGGCAGTTTTGTTTCAGTGTCAATTTGTAAGGAGGCAGACCAGGTGAATTTAAACTGTGCAACAGATCCTCAGATTGTAATTGATCATGAGATTCAATAGTTTCATCAATACCAATAAAAGTTTTTGATTCTTCTGGGAAGCGAGCAACAAGCATGTCGTTGATATCCTCGACGAAATCATTCTTAGTTGTTAAGATAATGCGAGAACTTGTACAGGATGAGGAGGAAAAAAATATATGCACGTCTGGATAAGTTATCGCGAATAATTTATCCAAAGATTCCTTTTCGGTTGTATAAGGAATGATCAAAGAAGTAGGAATTTGAATCTTGTTTGTTGAGTTTACTTTTTCTTCTCCGTTTCCTATTCGCAACAAATAATTACAAAATGAAGGATCATCTTTCGCTCTCATATTTTCGAATAACCGCAGCATTCAAGTTCTTCCCAAATATGAGAATATAGTAAACTTTCATTAATGAAATCTTCCTTTTTTCCGTTTCGAACTACCGGCAATGTCTGCCTGAAGTCACCTCCGAAAACTATAACTTTTCCACCAAATAGTATCGTTGAATCCATTAAGTCCTTTAAAAGTAAATCAAGCAGTTCGATCATTCTCTTTTTTGTCATAGATACTTCATCCCATATAATTAATTTTGTATCCTGAATCAAACACGCAGGTGAGCTTTGTTTGCTGATGTTGCAGGTCACATTGTCATCAGTATTTATTGGAATTTTAAAACGTGAATGTGCAGTTCGTCCACCGGGAAGTATAGATGCAGCTACACCGGAAGTGGCAGTTGCCAATGCTATATACCCTTTAGATCGTACAGTTGCCAACAATGCACGATATAAAAAGGTTTTCCCTGTTCCTCCAGGTCCGTCAATGAAGAATGCCCCAGCTTTGTTTGAAAAAAGTCTCTCTATAATTATATTGTATGCTCTAAGCTGATCTTTATTCAACTTTTTGTGTAATAGTATATCCTTATTAGTAACAGTGAAGGTTCTTTCAAAGCGTACCTCATTTGCCTCTTTTGCCGCTACAGAAGGCCTTATTGTTTCAGGAATGAGTTGATATTCATTTATGTCACCACCCATAGAGTGTAATATGTCGTTAATATGGTTTAAAACTTGGTATCGAATATCTTTTTTGTTAATATTGGATACCAACGTATAATCCTCGGACATATGCTCTTCAAATTATTCTCAGAGTTGTCTTGGATTAGTAGGATTACAGTAAATCAATAATGTAGCAAATAAACGTTTCAAACTGTATGGCATCTGGTAACTTGCTGCTTCTGACATGCATACAAGCAAACTATTGTCACTTTGTAGCAATCCCCGTTTTTTCACTGATTCTCTAAAGGTGCTGCAACGTTCTCCATTAACAGTTAGTAAATCATGATTTTGGTCCTCTAATATTCATTAATAGCATTCTGAGATAATATCGCTCACCTTTCGTTGGATGACATGTTACAACACGACCAATAGCATGTCATTGTTTGCGAGGTGTCCACATCTTCTCTGTTGAAGACCAAACAAAATGTTCTGGGAATTTCCGATATAATAGATTGAGCTCCATAACGTCTGCATTTGTTCTATTCATTTCAAAAAATTGTGTTAACATTGTCTACTTAATCAGCGGATTATTTACAAGTGTATCTATATTTGCGCTACTTTTGAATGAAACAAATTGTTGTCATTTAAGATGAAGTTGAAGAGGGTATACAGTCGGAGACATTTCACTAATAGAGAAACTATACAAGCGCCACATAGCTTCGGGAGGCGACACCCATCTAGCAGACTGATATTCCTTTATTTCATCTACTTCTGCGTTTGTGTCATTATTATGTACCGAAAATGCAATCTTGTCATGTCCTTTACATATATACTTATAAAGATACTTAACAACTTTAATATGAGAGCATATCTCAACGTTCAGATGGCAGTCAAATTTGCCGAGCAAAAAAGGATTATATGGAACAACCCATGAGTTATCCAAGTATTGTTCTCTTATTTTTACCACCACCCTGTATTGCGTCTTCTATAAATTGGGTAAGATTCTATTCCTTTTGATGTCAGGTCCGCAAAGCTTTTTGGATACTTGAATTTACAGTAACATTTTTTCTTCATACAAGAATTTGTTAGGTTTAGATTACTGCATGGACCATGCATCATGTGTTTAAGAACAAGCGAATATAAATCTGGTTTTACATTTTCTTCAGGTATTTCAGCACTAATAATACTATCGTAAGCCTCTGGGGTAAGTAACTTGTATTCATTAGTTAATATTATAAGAAAATGAGCGTGTGGCAAACCTCGCTTTTGGAACTCTACGGTATACATAAAAGCTGCTACCTTTCCAAAGATATTTCGCTTTAGTATATCCTTTTTGAATTCTTCTATTTTCGCTCTAAATACTCGGCTGATCAAATCAGGCCTATTATGCGACTCATCAGTTGAGATTAAATGTTCCTTTATTTCCGTCCAAGAGGGATTACATGTCATAGTTATAAATAAATCAGGTTTACCAAAATGTTGCACGAGGGCAATAGCATCCATGTACCGTTGTCGCATATCTCGGGGCCCTCCAATAAAAGAGCTTGGAAGGAAATTTTGTTTCCCGATATTAGAAGCATCGCGTTCACCTAATCGCAAGATGTCAAGAAGTCCTTGTAGCATAGCCATCCTAAATAAATCTTTATTGAACGCTGCGAAATCTAACCTTTGTGTTTCGAGTTTAATGTATTCATCAACTGAATACTGCTGAAATATTCTTCCAGTATGCAATATTTCATCTTCATCATCATTTCTCATTTGTAATTTGTATCAATAATACTCACGAACAGAAACTGTATCTCTTCATCGCTGTCCTTTTTTAAGAATTTCAGCTTCCATTTCAAGATATCCGTCAAGTGACATAACATTTCTTATACTTGGTACCTATTCGTGATGCGTTGTTCTTAAGTACGCAAGACAATTTGCTGGGAGCTTCTTAATTCCACAATGCCATCCACTTTGCCCTAGCGAAAACAATAGCGGATATTGCAATGCATCATAACAGCCATAGTAGTAATTCACTATTTGTGTTCGATCAGTGCGAGGGTAAATTTGAATATGTGGTGCATTAAAGGATGCGCCATCATTTTTCTCGGTCCATATTGCTGCAATTTTAGATGAAGTCGGCAAATTATATACTCTCTGGTCCAAATTTAAGTTGCATTTGAGGGCTATGTGGAAATCTTGAAGGTTCGATATATGTACCAAAGATCGTAAAAACACAAAGTATGGGTTTATTGATAATATATCCATCAATTCTTTCACTACTGATTCGTGGATTCTATCGGAACATGCCATCCTGTGTGCCAGCTCATTGCAATTATCATAAAAGTATAGCTGTATATTTCTTGGTTTGTCATCTGTAGGGTGCAAATTATTTATCCAGTGGTACATCTTCCCTTGAACTCTAAAGGTGTAGATACCAAAGTTTCTTTTTGCTAAATCTTTGTCATACTTTACACCAAGTGATGTGAACGCAAAAAGATAGTTATACATTCTAATGTATGTTCGGAAGTGTTTAGACTCCACATTATTTCCAAGAAATAAATTACGTAGTTTGGTAGGCATTTGGTGAGAAGTTAACTTTATTATCCCACTACCACAGCAAAATGCAGGCGGTTCATATTCAAATCTCTTTGCTGAGCAAAATTTTCATATTGGAACTTTCTTCAGCAGAGCATAGTTTGAACGCATCTGACCGATAATTGGAGCAGACTTTGTAGTTGGTGTACGACCTATATATTGGAAAAAGACTGCTAAAATTAAGGTGAACGAGAGGAAACAATTATTGTTTCGGCAGACAGAAAATCAAACGAACCTCTATGCGTAACTATTTCGGAGTCTTTGTTACGTAGTTCACTGGGTACTGCTGACGTTGAACCTAAGACCAAGTTAGGTGGTCCTTAGATGACACAAAATGATGGCAAATAGTATAAAAGTAAGCGTAGAAGGCGGCATACTCACCTTTTTCGTACATAGAAAGTGGATGCAGTACATCTCTTTCATTACCCGAAGCACAAGGCAGAGGATGATCCTTAGACGTATTAAAAGCTACATCAAAGAGAAAGTGTAGAGGAAGTTGACTATTTAGAATGAGAGATAACTCTGCGAGACAAGGTGAAAGCGATATTGTACAGATGCAGAATGTAAGAAGTGTTCGTAGAGCATTCAGGTGGATCCATTATTCCAGTCAAGCGATCCATAATTATATTCTCAGGAGGTGTACGTGTCTTTGACTCTTGGTATTTAAGTCGACATTGTAGTAGCAACTTCTGCTTTTTCTCTGCGGACATCGCTTTGTATTTTTCACGTCGGTTGACATTCATATCCGTTTCTGATAGAGGCCGCTTGTTTTTTTTTGTATGATCCATAAAAACTGTAGTATCTACTCTTAAATGATACTGCGCAAACTGTCATAGCCTTTTAGGATTGTATTAATTTTTATCACTGAGATGCATATAACACGGCAGGAAGTGACAAAATAGAGGCTATCTTTGAACAGATATAGTTATCCCAAGGAAGACAATATGGGAAGCGATTCATAATGTCATGATATGTTTTCAAAAAAAAAAAGTACGTTTTGACTATTAGTTTTCGCACAAGTGACATTGGAATGAAGTGAAATACCTCTGGACTTTATGATCATTTTTTGTACCTATAGGGGGAACAATTAGGATAATTTTTAAGGTTTTTTTCCTTCGTAGTATAACATCCGCGCAAAGGTACTTTTCCAAAGGTAAAGCTTCGCTCAGTAAGCGAAAAAATAAAATCTGACTAAAACATGACCCGAAGCGAAATAAAAGAAAGTGGACACCGTGACACGACACCAAAAACTAAAGAGCGAATATGTCAAGCCAAAGTTTTTGTTACGCACATAAATCGGTTTACAAACAAAAAATAAACAAAATAATTGTACAAAAGAAAATGGTGGACAACAGCAACCATTAGCAGAACGACAGGGATGTCCAAGAATGAACGCATTAATATGACCCAACGTGTACAAATATACGAAAGTAAGATTGTTGGTTACCTTTACGGTGCTGAACTTCTTCTGCAAGTATGTTGGTTGTACTTAACGTAGGAGAAACGTTTCTACAAAGCCAAAAAACAATTTCAGCCATGGTCAACACGTAGAACATGTTGGGCATCGAAAATACTCTTAGAAATAATTCTCTACCGAAATTGTAACATCATTGTCTCAAATATATTGGTACAAGGAAGAAAAAAGGTTGTTGGTGTGTGTTACTGGGTTATTCCATTAGTTTATGGCGTTGACTAAATAACCGATCAAAATAACACGTAATTCACCAATTTTCATGGGAGAACCTTTCATGATTTAAAAAAAGAGAATTTCTTACAGAGTTGGGTAACAGTCTTTTATCATAGCAAACATTAAAAAACAATTATGGTTCAATTCATCTCCGTAGGGTGAAAGCAAATTGTTTCCCCTTTCTTTCCCTTCTTTGTTTGTGTTCTAATAGATACTAATCACTACAAATATCATTCTGGCATATTAACTGACAAAATAAAGAATTTTTCCTAAATTCATTATCTTCAGTTGATGTTATATTCATTCTCTCAAATACAGAGCTTTCTTCTTACAGTTGGAGAACTCATGATTCACTAATTTACTTTAAATTCTTTCCTGCTCTCCTATAGAATATGATTTAAATTGATTCACACTGGAGAAGTGATTATATATGTAGGAAATTGTAAAAAGATTGAGAGTCAGAAAAATCACACACAACAAATATACATGCTGGCCAAAAAATAATTCCACATGCGTGCGAGGGAGGAACTAAAGTAAGCTTAAAATGGGTTAATTGAAGCTAAAAGCTAAGGAATATCACCCAATCTCACTGCAAACTATAGTATGCTGAACAAAAGGTAAAAATCCAACATCTACATATTCTATATTTCATATTACCACATAACATGAAAATCCACCGATCAAGAATTTTATTCATAGGGAATATGAAGCGAATCAGAAAACTTGAAGGTAGAACTATTACTGCAAAACATCAACAGCATAGAGCTTT